AAATTCAATTTAATATGCCTAAGGTCCCAATGAGAGCACATTTTATAAAAATTTAAATAAATTATTCCAGGCTCGATGCCCGTAACACAGGAGTTATGGCACTGGCCACACCCACCAAGGCTGGCAGGTTTAAACCTCCCGAGGGCCAGCTAAACAACAATGACGACTGCAGTAACAACACCACCAATAAAAAGCCAGGCGTTGTGGCAGGTGCCTGCAGTCTCAGCTACTCAGGAGGCTGAGGCAAGAGAATCACTTAAGCCCAAGAGTTTGAGGTTGCTGTGAGCTGTGACTCCACAGCACTCTACTGAGGGCGACATAGTGAAACTCTGTCTCCAAAAAATAAATAAATAAATGGGGCAGTGCCCAACGGCCCCATATACCAGAGGTGGCAGGTTTAAACCCGGTCCTGGCCAAAAACTGCAATAAATAAATAAATAAAAATAAAAATAAATAAATAATTCCACAATGGGTGAAATTATCCTTAATTCAAATATTCATTAACCAATTATCTGCCTGCTCACGCATTTCCTGGTATGATTCAGTAACTCAGATGAATTGAGAGAAATGGATGAACCATACCCCAAATCTTGGAGTATTTAAAAATAGTTGGTACTTTATGCTAAATTTATATTACAAAGCAAGATAAGTATTGAGATTTTTCTATATTTTCTCATAATCATGAATATCAGTACATACTATCTACATAGAACTTTGTTTCTCAAAAATTTTAAACTTTTGCTCAATAAAAATCTGATGTCCTAATCCGAAACTTGTGCAGTAAGCCTTCATGATTATTTAAAAACAATTACTTTGTGGGGAATCAAGTGGAATCAAAAAGGAAAGATTTTAAAAACTGTTATTACAGTTTTCTACTACTCTCTTGATTCAGAAAACAGAAGATTCCACTACTTTTGCACAATCTAATGCAATTCTCTGGAGGAAAATGGCCCCTTAGTTTCAACTCACTGCCCCAAATGAGACCATCACCAGTGAAATAGAAAAACAAAAAATATATTCCCTTCCAACAAACAAAAACCTCTTAAGCCCTGGTTCTAACATATTCCTCTCAGATATTTAGTCAGTGTCTTTTTTTACTCAGGTGGCAGACATTCAATTTTGTCTATAAATGTATCAATTTAGTCTTCTTATCTTTTA